CTATCCTTACTGTGGAAATTACGCGGGTGCGTCGCAGGCGGGCCAGGCGGGGTATAATACGCGGTGCGGCGCGCCTGTAGCGGGAGTCCCCAGGCTTCAGGCCCTTGTAGGTGGGGGATACCATTGGGGGGGGGGGGGGGGGGCGAGAACGCACAGCGCACAACTACATAGATATATATATATATATATATATATATATATATATATATGCAATGTACATATGTACACTCTTGGTGCATTCCAATCTTCAACTGGCTAGAGGCGTGCCCAGTGTGTTGTTAATCTTACATCATGTGGTGTCTGTCAAGTTCTTGCACTTGCAAGAAATTGGGCGAGCCGACAGCGGTAGCTCATCACACCCGAAAGATCCCGAGTCTGCAAACTCGCCGAGATCTCTAACAATTCACATGCTATCCTTTCTTTGTTTGCATTGAGCACCTCGAAAAGTCCGAGGATTGCCGCATCGTCCTCCAATGGATGTGTCAAGCAATCCAAATGTACAACGATGGCAAACTCAAAGTGCGCCTGGTGGATGTCTACCACCCCGTGCCGCGGCAGTAAGTATTTCCGTTTTGCCTTTGGGCCGCTTTGCAGGGTGAGGCTTTGTACTTTTGTTTCGGTGCTGGGACTTTACTGGGTCGCTGGTCCTTTCGTCTCCGGGTGCTCCCAAGACGATTGACTATAGGCAGCAAAACCTCGTTGTGCCGTTCGTGGCATCATTGAATTGGCTCCGATCTTCCGTGCTAGGAGTGGTCGACCATGGAAGACCTGGCAGCTGGCGTGGAACTCTTCAACAAGAGAGGTTATTCCTTGGGTCCATGGCTCAGAGGATTGACGCTTTCGCTTGGGGATTTGCAGGCCGGGAATTGGATTAGGGTTGAGGTCTGCGGGGCAGAGCCCTCGACTGGGAGGAAATTACATGGGAAACACGTAATTGGGTTGGGGCAACTTCGAGGGAAGTGGCGCTCCTGGGGAGATCTTCAGGCTGACAAGGGTTTCGAGGCGAAAGCTGCAGAGTGCACCACATTCGTCGTCATGCCATAGTCAAGCATCTTATTTACAGCTGAGAACTGCTGTTGCATAACCTTTTTGCGAATCGTTGTGGTTCTAGCGAACCAACCCTAAACACTTCAGTTAAGCTCGGTACACTTTTCGAGAAGATATGCAGCGGATGTAGCTCGAATCCCAACTTTTGCCGAGGATTCGGTGGTGAGAGCCCTGGGGAATCCGTGCGCTATATTCTCACTCATCAGAGCAAGGCAATCATGGAAATTCTTTCGTGTTCAGGGCCGGGTTGCAAGTCTGAGAGTTGAGGTGTTGGCTTTGCTCTTCATCTTGCTTACGGTTTTTTTCACCAGCAGCCTGTGACCTGCGAATTGAATCATGATCTCCGAACATGCCGTCGGTAGTCGGAAGATGCCGATCTTTATAGTACAACACATCCCGAAGATGTTCTGAGGCTTCGCATGCACGAGGTCTACGCCCCCACAAGCGTCGGTGTGGGGGCGGACAGTTCCATTTTGAGCCCCGGAGAATCCTCCCCCCAACTCCAACGCCGAAGCGAAGCCCCTTGGCTTCAGCTTACAGGCAAAGCTGAACATATCTCTGAAGCACTTGACGGCGAACTTCCAAATCAAGCTCCGTGAGGGACGCACGGATGAAGTCCGCAGCTTGACAGGGATGCTGGACGGGATGTGAATGCTATGGTTTCATGGCATTTTTTTGGCGACTCAGCATCGAGTCTGACAGGAATGGGATTGTTCGAACGATCATTGCATTGTGTTGGCTCTCCGTTGCATCTGCACTCCGAGGAGACCTTTGGCAGAGCATCGAGATGCTGCACACGTACTTGGCTTCACATCCCGATGTCATGAGCTGCCTCAGGGAAATGAAAGACCTGCTTGGCGGGACGCATCTGCAACTCCAGTGCCGCGGCGGCAAGTGCTGTGTGGTGCTGCAGATTTACTCGGCAGCATGAGCGGCCCTGTTCCCCTGACTGGCTCATTCCTTCAATATTGACCTAGATGCTGGTACAAAAGTTAAAAGCCGGCAGGAATCCTTGCCGTCGTGGAAAATCATTCCTAGATTCGGCCTAGCCCCCATGACCGCGTGACAAGTTAATTTTTTTCTGAGGCATGAAAAAAGATGGGCACTAATCACCCAAAAGAAAGACGCTAAGTTGCCGTCACAGGCACGAGGCCACATGCCTCATGCAGCGTTGCGAAAGCGACGCGGAAGACTTCGATCTTTCGCAGGTCAAGAGACTTCAGCTTCTGAGCACAAGCGTATTGCTTCAGTTCTTTTGGGGTTCAGGGCCAGGGTGCTGAGTTCAAGGGCCTGTTGCTAGCGGTTTCAGGTTTTTGGGTAGGACCAGCTCAAAATTTGCTGCAGGATTAACAGAAGTTCGCTTCGGATGTGTTCGCATTGGGGTCTTATGAAGCATGATGATGACAAGGGCTTCAAGCTGCAAACCCCGAGAGGACGAAGGTCATTCGTATTGCTCAAGAGGTCCAGAGGTCCCTTTGTTTCTGAGCCTTTGTTTCTGAGCCTTGCTCTGCGTGATATGTTGGGATCAGTAATTTTTGCTTTTGGCTGGCTGCGCTGTGTTTCGTCTGCTTTGTGGGTGACCGGGGTTGAGAGGTTGTTTTCTCGAGCGTTTAGGGACCCCTCGAACTGTCAGTTGCTTCGTGCGGTAGAACTTCCATGGATGCTGAATTGCAAGGGGCCTCATTTGCCAACTGGAACGCTTGCCCAGTAACTTGGCTGCATGGTTGTCCGTGGAGCGGGACTGGAAGTCACGAAAGCTAGTGGACCCTGCCTAAGTTTGGTCTCGTTCTAGCAGGTAGGGTCGCGCAAGGGCTGGCAAGTTGAGCGCTACATATTTTCAGCTATTGATTTCCTATTGTTTCGATGATAGGTCGCATAGAATCCGCAAGTCCAACATGGGCCGGGCAGCAGCAGCTCGAGGAGGAACTCGTCGTCATCTCTTTTTAATGATTTGGGACTGCTCCTTGCAGTTCTGCTGGTGCATCATAGGTTTAGGGCTTCGGGAGTACTATAAGCATTAGCTCCAGTTGGATCCTACACAACATGAGTTCTTGTCGCCATTGCACCCTCGACCTGGCACCTAGCTTTAGCAACGCAGCGGACATGGCAGGCAATCCCATTGACTGCGGCCTCGACTTCGTCCACAAGCTGCGAATGCGTGCAAACGGTTCCTTGTTTTGCTCAAGTGCAGCATGTGTCGGGACACCTGCTGCGCAGTGATGCAGGTTGCATGCGGCAGCACGGCGCGCACGTCATCAGCGGATTTTGCAATGACAAGTTGTGCCTTGAATCATCTGGTATTGCTTTGTAGTCATGCACCTAAGACGTAGGACTGCTTAGGAAAGCTTTTGCATGTCTCCGTGACCGACCAAGCCCGTTCTGTTAACAGAAGCAAGCAGAAGAGGCCGGATACCAGAAAGCTTTGCCGATGCATGGCCAAGCTGTCGGCATGGGCATCGGCAGAACCAAACGAGTTCGAGGAGTTGCACCATCAGGCTGCAAGAGCACAGCGGGACTATTTGGAGCAGGCCTCAAAGCCCACAACATCCAGCTTTAGGGCATGACTTTTCGGGTGGATTCTGGGCGGCAGCCTTTTTGGTTTGCAAAGAGGGCTTGTTCGGATGTGGCCTTCATCCGGCTTGAGCATGTCTCTACAAGTCTAACCGGGGTTCTGCAATTGCAGACTGGCTCCTTGCACTCGTTCCTCCCACGTGATTGCAGGTAGCAAAACGCACATCCAGCTTGGAGAGCCTTCCGGAGACTGACGTGGAGACGCAAGTCTGGGCCACTGCGCAGCTTGAGCACTTGTCGTTACATGCGGAAGCCCTGGGCGCAGAGTCCGATGCAGCAGAGAAGGGCTGGGCCACAGCCCAACATATGCTGAAAGAGAGGCTTGATGATTTCCGGCACCATGTCAAGACATCTGCTGGCAGCATCCTGGACGGCACGGACAAGGAGCGGACAGGCATACTGGTCATACCCAAAGCCGAGCAACGGGGAAGTTTTGACATCGTTATGTAATAAGTGGAGCGGCTGCAGATGTCAGGTCCACTACCTGGATTCCTCGAACCAGTACTGTACGTATGTGTAAACATGTATGTGTATCTATACAGACTATACATATACAGATAGCTAGTCTATGGATGAATGGATGGATGGATCGATGGATGCATGCATGCATGTGTATATATACTTATATATATATATATATATATATATATATATATCTGTGTGTGTGTATGTGTGTGTACATACATGCATATAGACTAAAACAGACTCGTGCATGTGGGTTTCACAGGAGCTCTCCTGGTCCGGGGTGCGCGCAGCCATTGCTAGCATCGACGCTTGCGCCAAGCGGGTACAGGAAGATGCCGCAGGAGCTCACCAGACCGCCCGGTGCCTCGAAGCCCTTCGCCATGATAAAGCTGAAATCTCAACGAAACTGCCGGATGTTTCAGGACTTTCAGGGTTTTCGGTGCTATGCTTCTGTGGCCTTGCCTTTGCGTCGCAGGCAAGGACCGTCGTTGGACCGTTCGCTACCACCGAAAGACCACACTGTTTGCTTGCATGGCAACTGGGGGCCTCGAAGCCGCAAACTGCTGATCTCGCGCAGAGGCAATCCGCCGGTCCATCATTGGAGACATCCAGGAGCTGCTCTCAAATTTGCGTGGCGAAGCAGAAGCAGTTCTGCCGGAACATGGTGTTCCTCGGCAGACTGGCACCGCGAATTGTGCGCAGGTCAGTGTCGTCTTCCACTCGCCCCACATGGTGTGGTGTCATTGTAATTTCATCTCGCCGAGTCTTTTTCCGAGGATGTGGCTCTGGCAGCTGGCACGAAGGTCAAGCAAGCCTATGATGCCATGTCAGCCCTCGTGGCCACATTGCCCCTTCCAGAGCGGGCATCCTGCAACAGGTCGTACTGCCACATGGCTGCAGCGCAGAGCACCTCCTGACCTCCTGCAAGCTCCCTGATGCCATATACAAAGTCGATGAAAGTACGCGAATCCGCCAAGAGTTTGAGCTAAGGTGAAAGGGCCCCTTGTATGCACAACTCAGTAGCTGATTTGCTTGCCAAGGTGTTCTTGGAAGGAGCACTTTCCAGTCACGGTTGGGCAGAGGTTTGTACACTTGGTTGGTCGGAACCTTTCCAACAAAACCTGTGTGCCAGTTGTCTGCGTCTATGGATGAAGTTTAAGTAGGTGTGCTGGGTGGAGCACATCCTCGCATCGCGAGTGCTCCTCAGTTCGAGGGCAAGCTGTCGAGCATACTTGGTCGGACATGCGGTCTATGCATTACAAATAATCTCTGCTACAAGTAAAGAGGAGTAACGAGCATGTGGAGCAGCATCGTTAGAGAAGATTGGTGTTGCGCGCCCTAGACGTCCCTAATCTCGAGAATCGATGTCGTTGCTCTTTCAGGCCAAGTACTAGGTGCGACGGGGTTTAGCGGCACTTTGATCTTTTCTGGTTTAGGATGCTAGCCATAACCCCGCCCAGAGCTTTCAGGTGCTCAGTGATACCGTGAAGTCCACGGGGAGGATGCTGCACCTGGCGAAGCAGATAGCTCCTGCACCGAATTCAGTTACGTGGGCTACGAGTATTAGACCAGATACTATAGCTCCCGTAAACAGGCCACGCCGGTTCTCTCAACGAGCCCGCAAATACGCTCAGGCGCATCAAGGTGGAGATCTGCAGAAGTTGAGGATGCTGCTCGGAGGAACCTGAGAAAAGCTATAGGGTCTGTGCAGAACATTCAACCGTTTCCATATGTTTTCACCACTGTGTTCTTGATCTGAGACTCCAGGTGCGTATTTGCGTGCCCAAGCCCTGTCGGGATACTCTTCAGGAGAGTCTTGAGCAAAAAGCCGAGGCTGTTGGCACGGCTTGATGAGTTTTCGTGGTTGCCCGGAGAGGCGAGCATCCAATCGGACCTGGAGGAGATGCGGACGCTCGAAGTTTAAGCCAAGGGCTCCTGCTTAGTGCTGCTTCTTTGAAGGCGCTCGGTGACAAGACCCACAGACTACTGGGATTTGCTGGCTTCTTCGCACATCTGAATAGGAAGACTTTCAGTTGAACACTTCAGCTGCAATTCGGTGTTTCAGATCATCTGCCTTATAAAGAGCTGGCAGCCCGGAGGCCAAATGGAAAGTGGTAGGCTGCCAGAGTAAGGCATCGAAAGTACGCAGCGCGACAGCGACACTTGCTGCTTTCGTGTTCGCGGCCTCCCTTCAAACCCTATCCTCGCCCGTACTCGTCCGAGCGGAATGAGAACGCGAGCTGTAATGGTAACTTGTGTATTAGTTCCTGTGATCATTCACGTAATTTCTCACTACAGCCCAGTGCGGCCAAGGGCTTGCGTTATCCAGCATTGCGACTTCACGCACCAACGCTGCCTGCAGCTGCTCGCTACATACCTGCAACTTACAGCCCCGCAGCGAGCATCGGAGTATTCTGGCGGCAAATGTTTGTTCGAGGGGTTTAGAGTCAGATCGTTCGTGAAGGTTCGCAAACTTAGGTGTACTGCCGATAGGATCGAGGATCCTGTTTTGTTTTGTGTCTATACATCAGGGTTCCCTAAGAGCTTCCGGTTGAAAGAGCACTTCACGCATTTGTCAAACTGCAGGTCGACGTTGTCTCTAAGGCTGCGTACCAAAAACACAGAAACAACCTCCCATTTGTCCCCCGATGCTTTCCCAGTGGTCCGGCACCTTGATCGAATAATCCGAAGCAGGACGAATCTGCCAGCTTTTGTTGGAACTTGTGAAGGCCTTCTCTGTCCCTTTGCATTCCACCTTTTGGCTTGCTAATCTGACTTACCCTCGGCAATCAGGAAACCTTTGTTGTTCATTCAAACATTTCTTGCACTGATTAGGATTCTGGGGTTTGTCCATGGAAAAGAGTTATGAGTACCAACGGGCAACAGATAAGGCATCCTGGCTGCCCGGCATTATGCCCATAGACCTCACACAGTCAACATCGCAAAGTTGTTAAGGTCGAGTTTGACATTGAGGCGCACATCACAGCAAGCAGTGCCATTTTCACAGGCATGACCGTCAAGTTCATCTGTCCTCAAGATTCTCACGTCTAGCATCGAAATCCGCAGTATTACGGCCTTCAGCATCAGCAGGAACATCGCCATCATCATCACTATTTGCCATGAGGTGGCCACCAGATGCACGTTGAAATATTTAGATACATAACAGGTCAGCCATGCAGTTGTCACACCTTGTTCGTGTCCTCATTCCGACTTCTCTGGGCTTGGGTATGACTTGCGGCGTCTAATTTGACTTCATCCGCGAGCTTCTGCGAGGCAGCTCCAGGCCGTGTGGTCACAGTTGAGTTCACTGCATGCGATGAGCGATCTCATCCCCGGAGTCTCGCGGTCTCAGCAGAAAATCCAAGAGGAGCCTCGAGGGAGGTCGAAGCTCAATTCCTTTTTTCTGATGGCTTCAGCAGGCAAGCCAATGTGCAGTCTTCTGCGGCATGGCATGGCTCGATGTCTGAAAGCCAATGTTTTGGTGACAGTGTTCGGCTTCGCAAGAGGCTGCACGCCTCAAAGTGCAAACCCTGCATGCAAAGTGCGTGAAGCTTCCCGTGACATTTTGTACCCTAGCGTTGTAAAGGCACGTCAGGCGCGTACCCAGAAGCTATGTGACATGCGAAGCTCGGCTCCCAGGAGCTCAGCACGGCTCTGGCCAAATGGCTGATGAGTGTGGTGCCCAGAGGGACTTCGGCATGGCATTCCTTTAGCTTTAACAGGGCTTACTTCTCTAAGTAGTACGGGACTCGGCAAGCACGCAAAAGCAATCAGCAACGCAAGTTCTTTGCTGTCAGAGGAAGAGCAGACTGCCGAGTATATTAAGGAGATGACATCCAGTAGTAGTAGTAGTATTAGTAGTAGTAGTAGTAGTAGTAGTAGTAGTAGTAGTAGTAGTAGTAGTAGTAGCAGTAGTAGTAGTAGTAGTAGTAGTAGTAGTAGTAGTAGTAGTAGTAGTAGTAGTAGTAGTAGTAGTAGTAGTAGTAGTCTAGTAGTAGTAGTAGTAAAAAGGTGGTAGTAGTAGAAGCAGCAGTAGTAGCAGTATTGCAGTTGTAGTGGAGGTTGCAGCTGTTGTTGTTGTTGTTGTTGTTGTTGTTGTTGGCAGCTGTTGCGTCTGCCGCTGCGCGGGGTGGTGCGATTCCTTTGCTGGCATGTGCTGAAACTCGAGTTTTTGCACTTTGTTCGCCCGCAGTTGAACTTTGCTTTTGCAGTCGCATCGGTCTTTGCGGTGCAAAAATGTGTGCCAGCCGGCGGGATGCACTGTGCAAAAACATGTTCAGCTCTGCATTTCGCCACTGTTTTTCTGTATTTTTCCCCGTGTGTGTCCCATTTCGCATCGGGTATTTTTGCGGACTCTCGACTTTGAGCACGTGCCGGCTTGGGGTTGGGGGGGTGATGACGTCCATGCGACTGCGAGTTTTCTTTGTCTTTGTGTTCACCTTCTTCTGCTCTATTCTGGTGCCGTACATTGGTGGGGAGGGGCGGTGGGGGGGGGGGGCGTAATGACGTCCATGCGACTACATTGGTGGGGAGCGGGGGGGCCGGGGGGCTGCCGCGGGGGTGGTGATGAGGTCCATGCGACTGCGACTTGTGTTTTCTCTTTCTGGTGCGGTACATTGGTGGGGAGGGGGGGGATAACGTAAATGCGACTGCGACTTTTGTTTTCTGTTTCTTGTGTTCACCTTCGATCCGACACGACACGCGGCCAAATTGAAGAATAAGACCGTTCCAAGTTGAAAATTGGGCAGTCCTCGTCGTATTAGTGATTGTGGTAGTTATAGTAGTAATAAAAGACATGTAGTAGTAGCAGTAATCAGCAACCAGTACTCAGAAGCAGCAGCAGCAGCAGCAGCAGCAGCAGGAGTGGAAGTAGAACGTACTCGTAGAACGCAGAACGTAGAACGTAGAAGTAGAAGTAGGAGTAGAATAGGAGTGGCAGTAGCAGCAGCACTAAGCAGGGGTAGCAATTGCAGACAGCCGCGGTGCCGGTAGTGGTCCTCTGTGTCTTGGAGGCCCTGCGGTGCGTCCAGCCGTAATGGCGGCCGGTGGCTGCGAGATGCCTGCGCTGGCGATGAATGACATATTACAGGTCGGCAAGGAGCTTTCAGGGGAAAAGGGCGTAGGAGACCTCAAAGTTTGGGCTAGGTCGGGGTGTGCTGGCTACAAGAAGCCATGTATCTTGGTTTGGTCGATTTGTTCCGCTGTTTTTCGACAGGTCCACACTGGTGGCCCTCCATTGTGTCAGATGTGCATCCATTTTCTTAGATTCCTCGGCTTCGTGCGTACAGGCCTAATTAGACCTGACTCCCCAAGCGTCAAAGCATGACTTCAGTTTAGTAGCTTCATTCCCGAACTCTTCGGCCATGCAAAGGATCCCAATCTCCAATGCCTAAATCCTGAAGCTGAAATGTAAGCAACCGTATACATCTGTGCTCAGCAGGAGCTGGGCTTCCTTCCTGGGCTTTGTCTCGAGGCGCTTAGTCAGGCGCAAAGCAGCGCCTGAACCGGCAGACAGCAGGGCTCATTAAATAGCTGGTGTTGATCGGGCTCTTCGAACAAGCAGATATATTCAGAGGACTACATGTGGTTGCTCTTCAAACAAACTCGAGACAACTCAGACAAGACCAACACACATTCTGAGCTACTTAATCAAGCAACTACGTCATACAGCCATGCACGATGGGAGTCTATACGGGACTCTGGTAGGGCTTCATGCATTGTGTGTGTGTGTGTGAGGTATTTGAAGCCTGACCCAGAGTGTATTAGGATTAGGGTGTATACTCATCTTGTCCGGGGTCTACCGCTCAATGCATTGCAGCGGGGTATTTTGAGGCATCACAGGCGGTATGGAGCTTGTCGGACTTGGATTCTAGAGTGGACGAGCTTGAACTTGACTAGGATGGTAGCGACCTGCCGA